CACTGTAGCAGGGATGGACAGCATTTTGAATAACTAAAATAGGAGTTCAGAACTGGAACAGAGAGAAGCAGGGCAGAATGGTGGAAGATAAAACTGGTAAAGGAAGCAGAAGCCAGATCATACAGGTCCTTGTAGACCATGTTAAGAACCTGTACTCCGTTACCAGAACAGCTGTCTTAAGGTTTTAAGCTTGGGATTAACGCGATGAGATATTCAATTTAAAGGATCACTCTGGATTGGGGAAGGTGAAGGGCATGAGAGGATGTGGGGAAATCAGATGATCGTAACTTGGGCTAAAATGGTGATTGTGAAGATGGAAAGAAAGGATGAAACTGAGAGCTATTTAGGGGGTAAAATCAAGAGAAATTTATAAAGATCTGGGAGAAGATGGGACCAGGGATGGTTCTTGGGTTTCTGGTTTGTGTGATGGAGTGCAGCATGAACCCACCACTGGAGAAGGAAACATGCAGAAGCAATGGAGTAGGGTGGTCTCACTCTTCAGTTTGGGACATATGTCGATGTTCCTAGGAGACGTCCAAAAATTGTTCTCAGTGACAAATATGAGCTTGGGGGAATGATGTGTGCTGGATTTAAGAGTGACTGAGGTAAGTGAAACTGTGAGCTACTGAGGTGAGATAATATAAGACTGAGCTTCTGTTAACTATTATCAATAAGCCCTGATTGTCTTTCATGAGATAAGCACCCTTTTTTCTTCATCATTTTTTTCTGGTTAGATTAGGACCTTACTATGATAGAATCTTGCTAGAAAGTTGTAGTTGTGCCCTGGAAACTTCTTAATGTGGAAGCTTCATATTATGTGATGTCTCTTTGAAGGTGGAAGACATCCCTCCAAACTCAGTCTTTAAAGGATGTTATTATTGTCATCCAAATATTTAAAGATCTGAGGATTTTCATCCCACCTGTATAAACATCAGTTATCAGGAATCACTTTTCTATCTAGCAGCTCACCTCTTCTGTTGATTTGTAGGATATTGGGATTTAGATTCTAGCTAGTGTATATTTTCATAAAGTTGGTTAACCTGCCTTAACTTTCTCTGGAGAGCTACTTAACTGCATCATTATTTCTCTGTAGATTCACAGATTGTCATGACTAGGGAAGTTTTATTCAAATCTCTTCATTTTACAAGTGAAGAAAATGAGGTGTAAGGGAGATGATGGCTCGGGCCACATGCTGAGTTGATGATATAGCAAGAACCACCCTCTAGCTGGTCCTCAGCTCCAGCCTTGAGTCCCGTATAACACCACACTGCCTCTTCCCTTAACCATGACTTTGAATTAGTCTTATCCCAGAACTGTAAAGCTTTCTACTTTAAGTTTTAAAAGAGATTCATTAATTGCATATTTGCATCTCCCAAATGAAAATATTGCACTTGTTGTTTTTTCAAGCCTTAATGGGGCAAGTTGTACTTGAAGAGAGACTTATTCTAGTTTCCAGTCACAGAAGCTACTGTAGAAGCTGTGGATGCTTTCTCTCTCTCGCCCTCTAATTTAATGATGGCAGAGGATCTGGCATCCTTTTCCTAAGCTTCTTAATATTCCTACTCCTGTCATTTCTTTCTACCAGAACAATTTCATGTTAATTCTTCATGATCATTGGAAGATTAAAACCACAAAAAATATAAGTTTTAATACTTTGACAAATATACAGGCCAGCAGGAAAAAAAAAAAAAAACTAAAGGGTTTATATTTAAATACCTTTTGAATATCCTGATGACCTCTTTAAAAACTCTCATGTTTAATCATGATTTAGTACTTTTTAGAAAAGTGAATACTTTGTGTGAGTATTGAGTAATGATTGGCTGTAGTTTTATAAAATTTACACCTGCAAATACCTACTTTAAATAGCCACTTCTTATAATAATAGTCCAAGACAGATACATTGGCGCAGTCCTCTCAAATGAAAAGGCCTATTAGAATACCAATTCAGTCATTGTATCAAAGACCCAAACTCACAATGCTCACATAAAGATGATAGAAGTTTCTTTCTCAATCTCTTGAGAAATCTGAAGATTTTAGGAACCTAGGCTTCATCTATCTCATGGCTTGATGCTCTTGTCTGCATGATTGAAGATGGCTTACCAGTTCTGAGCCCACATTTCACCAGCAAGGGGGAAATGAGGGAGAGGGGGGCACAGCCATTCTTTTTAAGAGCACATCCTGAAACATGTCACATCTCACTTCCCATTGGCTGGAACCTGGTCCTATGGCTACACCTTGCTGCAAGGGAGGCTGGGAAATGTGGTTCTTAACTGGGCAGCCATTTGCTCAGCTAAAACTTAGAAACCCTATTACTGACAAAAGAAGGGAAGATGAGATATCAGGGAACACCTAGCAGTTTCTGTCATTTCTAAAAGAGATTAAGTAGTAAGTAATCTAGAAACTTTATCATTTTCACCTGTTAAGCAAAATAAATTTATCTTTAGACATGACAAAACCATGAGGAAGAAAATAAGTGATTGTCACCCCACAAACATACCTGTTAAAATCCAACAAGACCATGGAGAGTGGATTTGAGAAATCAAAATTAGTCATTCTAAAGTTCTAGAAAGGTAATGTGAGAAAAGGCCCTGGTAGGCCAGAGCTCATGTGGGGTTTGGCTGAGCAGAAAAAGATTGCTTTGCAGCATGCTTAAGGAACAGAAGGAGGAAGGCCAACTGCTGGGGGTGAAGCCAGAGGCATCACATTGTGTGCGCTGAGCTCAACCACAGATCTTCTTTAAAACTGAGAGGTGGGCAAATTAACCACCTTAGTGACAGAAGGACAACTAAAACAGAGGCTGCAGGGACTGACAAGGATTCTTTACTAGGGTCTCCTGACTGAGACGCATGAGGTGCAAACTACCATTGCACATAGGCACGGGGCCCACTCACTGAAAACTCCCAGGTGAGAGTAAGGCAGGATGCACGATGACCAGGTGAGACTCTGGAGAGAAACAAAGCAGCAAATGAGGGAGAAGGAGAGAGAGAAGCCAGGACATTGTCATTGGTCCTAGTCTGATGTCAGGAGATCAGGGAAATTAATACAGCAAGGTGAGTGAGAGCAGAGAGTAGCATCCACCATAGTTAGGTTCATGGGCAAATCAACCGTAGGATCTGGGGTAGTTGTAATACCCCAGAGCCAAAAACTCTTAGTAGATTAAGACCTTTGGCTTCTTGCAGATGTTATTAATGAAACTCTGCTTGTTCTGGAATTGACAGGAAGAGGTATAGGCCCTAATGATCTCTTAACCTTTTTAAGGACTAACATTTCAATCTTACCAGTCAGGAAACATGGTGTTAATACATGCAAGAATCCTTAGCACTGGATATGCATGTTGTTGACCTGGATATTGTCATCTTTACTTTAAGAAATAATTTATCTCAAACTGAAGATGGCTCTCTCCCATGGACCTTTCAGCTTCATGACTCAATGCATATTACCTGAGCTTCAGCAATCGGAATACAGATTTCCTATTTCACTATATCTGAGTGGGGCCTTGATGATAAAGATGTTCTTACAGAAAGGCAAAATTGTATTAATGGAGTGTCAAACATCAGAACAGTCGAAAATTAGAAAAGGATTACAGACCCAATATGCAGTCTTGAAAAATGAGATGACTCAAAGGCTTGAGGTCATAATATAGCAATAATGAAAATATCCTGTATGTGTAACAAAGTGCTTTGTTCATTGGTTTGGTTTTAATAAACATTGTGGAAAAGATATCATTTTATAGGTAAGCAAGCAGGCTTAGAAAGTTTTAGTATTGTTAATTGTCAATTTTGTCAAAATACAATAAAAAGACAGTTTTAGTAACTGGTCTTGTCTTAGATACCATGACACAAATATTGTGAAAATGGGAATTGAATCCAGATGTTTTAATTCCATGTCCCAGACTCTTTCCCTTGTGTCGTGTGGCTCTTCTGAGCTTTAAGCAACATCATGAACTTTCTCATTTGTTCATGCATTCATTCTACAACTATTAGTGGCATACCTCCGATGTGCTAATCATTATACCAGGCACTGAGAATGGTGTGATTGACAAGACATAGTATCTGCCTTCAAGCATGCTTACAATCTGGCAAGGAACACAGGCACATCATCCATACTGGCCACTATGAACCAGTGAAATGTATGCTACAACAGCAGGAATACAGCAGACTGTAGAAGCACATGTGAAAGTCATCTTACCAAATTACGACTTAGGCTTCCCAGGGAATTGATGTTGGCATTGAGTCCACGAATGTTAGAAGGAGCTGAAGGAACAAAGAATGTTCCAAGTCAAAAATAAAGCATATATGAAGCTATGCTTGACAGGGAGGTGATCCTAAGTGAGTTCCAGAGGAGGGAAAGACCCAAAACCTTTACAAATTCAACTTAGTGGACCATTCCTACTACTTGGCTAGAGACATCATCCATCCATCCATTCTTCCAATCATCTATCTACCCATCCATTCATCCTTCCATCCATCTTGTCATTCTTTTATTTATCCACCCACTCATCCTCCTTTCCTTTCTCCCTCCTTTCCTCCCTCCCTTTCTTTCTTCTTTCCTTCCTTTCTTTTTTATATCCAGCCTTTCATCCATTCATTCATCTATCCATCTATTTATTCCTGGAAGGTGCTAAGATATTGATTGAATTAAGTAATTAATTTAAAAAACTTTTACTGAAAGACCTAGTATATGCTAGGCATTGTGCCAAGCACTGTAGAGGGGATAAAGATACAAGAGATATTATCCCAAGGGACATGAACCTTAAAATCTCATTGAAGAGATGAACATTACACATACATTAATACAGTAGAAGCTGAATGGAACAGTTGTGTTAAGAGGTGCCCTATGAATTTATCATTGGCTGTGGGGATATTATATGGAGGGAAATCTAAGTATCAGTGATAAAACTAACAAGCTAATATCAAACTGAATATTCTTCATCTTTTTCTTTTATGTCTTTGCTTATTTGTTTTATTTTGTTTTGTTTTCTGAAATTTGTTCTTTGACAGATTCTGTGGCAACAGCATCCGGGCCACTACTAGTTGAAGTTGCCAAAACTCCTGGTGCCAGCCTTGGGGTTGCCCTAACTACCTCGATGTGCTGTAACAAACAAGTCATTGTCATAGACAAAATCAAATCTGCAAGTATTGCAGACAGGTAAGTATTGTAGAAAGTGCCTACTTTTCCACCAGGCATGGTGGCTCATGCCTGTAATCCCAACACTTTGGGAGGCTGAGGCGGGCGGATCACCTGAGGTCAGGAGTTCGAGACCAGCTTGGCCAACAAAGTGAAACCCCATCTACTGAAAATACAAGAAATTAGCCAGTCGTGGTGGCAGACATCTGTAATCCCAGCTGCTCAGGAGGCTGAGGCACGAGAATCACTTAAACTCAAGAGGCAGAGGTTGCAGTGAGCTGAACCATTGCACTCCAGCCTGGGCAACAAGAGCGAAACTTCATCTCAAAAACAAACAAACAAACAAAAAGTGCCTCTTTTTCAAAAGTGCATGTGTGCAATTTTAAGTATATATAAACACATATGTACACACACTTGTGATACACATATACACATGCATAGACACATACACATACACAAACACACACACAGTTCTCTTGCCAGTTTATACAGGTTTCACACAGAGAAGCAAGTTACTGTTGTAGGGCTTAAAAATTCACCTATGTGTCAGCCACCCCATAATGTCACTTCACCTCATCCAGATGTTTGGTGGTTTGGTGTGGCCTTTAGCCACCAAAAAAAAAAAAAAAAAAAGAAAACAAGGCAACTAAGCAAGTTTCTCTTGATGTTCCGTAAGGGTCACTAGCTGTATCTTGATGTAGGGTAACGGAGTAAGGATCTTTATTCAAACCCCGTGACGCGTAGCACGTGATGGGGTTTTTTCCTCGAATTGGTTGACAACTCTAATCCTGCTACAACCATAAAATCCTTGATTTCTTTGTTTCCTTAAATACCAATAAACAATACTTTTTCAAAAGTATTCGTTTTACAATACTTGAAAAAGTCCATATACTCTCATAGCATAGTAAATCTTAGGATTTTCACAACCCTTCGAGGGTCCTCTCTAAAATATTATTCGCTTTCAATCGCCACAATAAAAATGCAAACTTCATAGTTTCTAATTACATGTTTATACTTGGCAAAGGTAAAAGGGGAAGCGAAAAAAAGACCCTCACCTTCTTCCATCTAATACAAATTATTTTACAGCTCCCTGTAAGAAAAAACCCTCATCTCCATAGCTAAAGCACTCCACAGTGCAAAAAATGTCGAATTACCTTTTTCTAGTTGGAAGAGACTGACTTGAACAATGCTTCTTGCTCCTTTGAGAAATACAGACTAATTCTCACACTGCGCGGGCAACTTTATAGATATACCTGCACTGAATGCTCTCCCTGTATGTTTCCAGCCCCTCCTTCTCTATGTGCCCCTCCAACCTGGCTGGAAACCCTCCAGCCATGGTGCAGTCGAACTCAGCAACCCCCAGTAGTGCGGTGCAGTCTACCTAGCCTCCCACTGTGGTCTTACCTGACATTCAGTCCTTATCAGTGACAGCGCCATCATGATCCGAAGGGTGTTCTCCAGTTCAGTGGCGACAGGGTGCTTTAATTTTCCTCCCTCCTGTTTTTTTTCGCCTTCCTGGCGGGGGTAAAACCAGTTTAAGGCAGCTGTTCACCTTGAAGCTGGTAATGTGGAGATGCTGATGGCTGTGCCAACTTTTCTCAACTCATCCAGAGTAGCCAGCCTCTTGAGCTCAGCAAGCGATGTAGCCAGCCAAGCCCGCGTTTCCCTGCCCCCATTCTTTCCCCCTTGACCTCACCCATGCAGGCTGGTTTTATTACTGCACTTGACTTGTTTTCTATTATCAAGAGCTTTTACATTTTGTATCAACTCCCAGAATAAATGTAAATCACTAACAGAACTGGTCGATACCTTGGAGCGTTGTGTGAGGATTCCAGGTTTCTGAAATCCGTCCCCAGTATATTCTTCCTTTTCACACATAAAATTTTCAATCTCTGAGAGTCATGTTTGGTTCGCAAATTTACCAACTCATGTTTACAGATAGAAATGCCTAAACAAGACAAACAAACACAGACAAAACAGTCCAGGCGGAAACATTTTCCTGTTTTTCTTTGCTCTGCCTCATTTTCTCAACTTTTCCACACAGCAACTCCGCAAAATCAAGACTCTTTTCTTTTGTTTACGAGAAGGACAAGAGAAAACATTTCCTTGAATTTTTCTGTATTTTCCACAAGGTTTTAACCCTCCTTATTCATACTTTCAACAGTCACTTTTAAACAGTTTGGAACGAATGGTGTTATCCTATAAACAACACATTAACAACTCTACATATTTCTTTATTTTTACTTTTTTTTACACACAGATTAATGAAACTGGATGATGACACAGAATATATCACACTTGATAAACACAACACATTAGAGATTTACAGGGATATATATTATTTCACACAGAGGACGAAATATCAAGGGACGGACACCACACACAGGCATATATACAAGCGGGAGATACATAATATAATACTCCCTTTCCGTAGATGTGGCGGCATTGCACGTGGGAGATTCACATCCTCTCCATCGACGGGCAGCATGGAGTACTGTAACTTGCAGAAAGCAACCCAGTTCCTGGCCACACCACTGACCAGGTCAACGCTTGAGATCCTTCCCCTCAATCAGACACGGCTGCCCTAAAAGGGGCCCGACCATGGGTGAGAGTATCTACCTGGATCAAGCTCTTTCTCTGGCCTTACAGTGTTGCTCCCTCTAAAGCAGGTTAGTTTTGGTTTTTTTTTTTTTTTTTTTTTTTTTGAGACAGAGTCTCACTCTGTCCCCAGGCTGGAGTGCCAGTAGCATGAGCTCAGCTCACTCCAACCTCCGCCTCCCTGGGTCCAAGCCATTCTCCTACTCCAGCCTTCCGATAGCTGGATTACAGGCATCCACCACCAGTTGCACACTAATGCTGTCATTTTTTGTCAAAGTAAAACAAAAAGAGGAACACAGGAGGTCAATAAGGCAAATAATTTGACTTCCTGGTATTCATTTTGAATTTCCAGTCTAGATGAAGGCCAACGAAGGCAAATAGTAAAACTCTCACTTAAAAATAAATAAGCAAAGTGGATTTTGATGGCAGAACCTTCAAATATTTGGCAGGAATCAGAGGGAACCAGTTATGCGAAGCATTCGTTTTCAATATATTTTGTCTTTTGCCAGTGTAGTTTTTTTCTTAGGATAGAGAACAACCTGCGTGACCAAAAATCTTGTCTGGGAGAATCAGAATATTTGACTCCATTTATTCAATAAAAAGTGTCAGCTGAAGGTATCTGCATTTTCACTCCCTTGAAACTCACAGATACATTTGCCGAGTGTTTACACCATCTACCTAGGCATCTTTAGGCAAAACCTGGTACAAGAAAGGGGTCTTTGAGCCCCAAATCAAATGAAGTCAAGTTCTCCAGTAGGATCTTTGTTCCTACTCCTTCTCCTGCCCTATTCCTTAAACCAAACAGCATTTCTTTGTACTCCTTGAAATTAGAGGCCTCACTAGTATTGTCAGGGTGGCCTGAAGGAGGATAATGCATTTCTGTATGTTTAGACACCATGCAGTTTTCTCTAAAATTGAAATTTTGCTTATAAGGGGGTCATTTGTATTGTGTCTCCCACCTTCTAAAACGCACTGTACTTCTCCACAGTCTGGAGTGGGGGGAAAGAGGGACCAGATAATTTTCATACTAAATCAGTCAGCTGGATGTAACCTTTTTAATTAAATGGAGCTTAGACAACCCTGAAGCTAATGAAAATCTCTAGTACAACATTACCCTTGTCAGATTTTAATTTTACACATTGGAGTAGAGAAATGATGCAGCATAGGCAGGTTATGAAAAGAAAATCAGCATCACAGTATTGGAATAGAAATGCAAACAGCTGTAGGAAGGTGCTGTTCACAAGGATGCACACCATTCCTATCAGGAGGCCCCGTGGGCCCTTCCTGCACTCTGGCAGAGAGGAGAGATTTCTGAAGCTGTTTAAGTTTCTTTAAATTAACTGGCAGTCATCACTGGATTTGAAGCACAGTAGCCATAAGAATGCACACTGTAGTGCTCTCTCAGCATGGGGTTTTGCTTGCTAAATTCTGGTATCAGCGAGTCGGAAATGCATACCACCCCCTTTTAAAATGTTAACGTCTTTAGCAACTTCTTTTATTTTTCTTTAGTTGGCCCTATATATAATTCATAAATAATTCAAATGTTTTCAACTCATGGAATATTAAACTTTTTAACCTGCCAAAGCAACTTAAGATTAATTTATGTACTAAAATATATGGACTAAGAATGAATTTTGCCTTTATTGTAGAAAACCTGATGTTGTTTGTGTTGCAGGGATAGGAAGCTGATAGAAGTTTAAGTAATTCCAGCTTCCACTTCTGACTCCATCATCTACATTTACTGAAAGTTGTTCACTGTCTTTCTTATCAAGCAGGGATTTCCTCTGTATTGCACATTAAAATCAGACTTGCATTTCCAAGAGGAAATACATTTTGGCTCCTAAACATAATTAAATCATAGTAAAGAAGAAAAACAAACACAAAATTATTATTATGTTTACAATTCTCAAACTTACATTTTTGACTAATGGAGTTTTACATAGTTTTACCCTTTCTCCACAAGAAAGTTCTGATTGTTTTTTTCAAGATCTCTGATGCCTGAACAGTGTGTCTCTCAACACACTTCCCGAATTTCCAGATTTTGTTAGCAGCAAAGCATACACCAAAGAGTTTTCAGGGCAATGTAGAAATGAATATCTCAACTTGGAATAAGAGATTAGCTATGCCTTTCACTGATACATAGCAGCATTAAAGAAGCTGACAAAAAAATGAGTTTTCAGTGACATTAGAAATTGTTCCCACTGAGGGTTTTCAGGAGACATAATTGGATTGAAGGAAACTGACATTTTGGAAAGGAAAATGTGACCAGAGTCACTAGACTCAACTCATTTAGTACCAGGAGGACCTTCCATTTGAGAGCTCTAGGGCTACCACTGGAGCCGCTGTGGTCTGCTCTCTGGGACATCCTGAACAGAGCAAGAGGCTGTAATTAGAGAAGAAAGAAAAGTAATTTCTGTGGTCATATATCTCTTGAGACTACAGTAGTGATGTCACCATGAAATGATACACAAACCGTAATATTTTAAATGTGTTGTTTTCTTATGCATAAAAAGGGACTTAGACATACCCATAGGAAGAGGTGGTATGTCTGGTGGCTGAAGTGGGGACTTTAGGATCACATGTCCAGAGCTTCACCTCTGACTCCACCACGTGGGGCCTTAAGCAAGTTACCCAACTTTTCTATACCTCAGTTGCTTCATCTGTAAAATGGGGGTCATAATAATACCTGCCTCAAAGGAATATTCTGAACATTATCTGAGCTAATCGATCAAATAGCACCTAGCACAATGCCTAGTATATAAGTACTCAGTGAAAGTAGGCTATGATTATCGGCAGTATTAAATGAGAGAGTGTCTATAAGTGCTTTTTGCAAGATGATAGGACATGCTAAAAATGTAACATCTTATTATTAAACTCTGGAAATACTTGCCTATCAAGTATACCACTGTAAAACAGAAAACATTTGGAGTGTACATTCAAAATAGGCAGCAGCTGTCTTCTCTGTCCTACATTATTTGTTCAACACCTTTTGCATTCATCATCCATAGCATATAGTTTTGTACACTATCTTATTTTTGTCTCTTAATTATTTTATACGTGTGAAGATTTAATCCCCAGTAATAATTCAAGATCAGGGTAAAGGGTATGACCTTTAACCTGCCTGCAGCAATTGGCACAGTCTGGGGAAGCAATAGGTGGTAAATAATATCTTCCTTATTGACTTATTAATTGTGCTTGGCAGTCCTAACAAATGCCCAGTAATTTTCAAAGCTCTCAGTGAAGAAGTGGGTCAAAAGGTGGGTGTAGAATCCCAAAGTGCATTCACTGTACCCTGGCTTCATTTGAAACAGATGGTACTTTGTGAAAAGTACGCTAAAGTGTCTGTGGTTGTAAATTGGCCAGACCCAGTAATAACTGCATCTTGCTAAAATGTCTTCCTGTATACCCAAAGTAGAATGAGGATGGTGAGACAAAATCCGTTAGGGACATCCTCTGCAATAAATACTCTTTTATCTCAAGGAAAATGCTGCTGCAGTGTTCACATGGACACTCTGGCTGATATTCCCGTTCATTTATGCATTTGTTCATTCATTCATATATTAATCATTATATACTAGGCACTGTTCTAGTTGCTAGAATATATTTAATGAGCAAGACAGACAAAGTATATCCCTACTCTTATAGAATTCACATTCTAGTATAGACAGACAAACATTAAAAATATATTAAATAAATAAAGCTGTTTGAGACAGCAATAAGTACCATGAAGAATGTAAAACAATAATGAGATAGCACGGGGAGGGCAGCTCCTTCAGCCAGGGAGATCAGCAACAACTTCTCCGAGGAGGTGGCACCTCGGGTGAGACCTGAATGATGAGAAGGAGGCAGTCATACAAACAACTGGGGAAAGAATAGCAAGTGCGAAGGCCTTGAGGCAGGAAGGAACCTGACTTGTTCTAAGAGTAGATATAAGATCAGTATGGCTAAAATATACAAATGTTGGGAAGAGTGATATGGATGAAACTAGCGAGATAGGCAGGGGCTGCATTTGATTCTCTTTGTAATAGTTAGCTATTCAGGCTGGGCGCAGTGGCTCACGCCTGTAATCCCAGCACTTTGGGAGGCCAAGGCGGGCAGATCACCGGAGGTCAGGAGTTCGAGACCAACCTGGTTAACATGGCAAAACCCCATCTCTACTAAAAAATACAAAAATTAGCTGGGCGTGGTGGTGGGTACCTATAATCCCAGCTACTGGGGAGGGTGAGATGGGAGAATCGCTTGAATCTGAGAGGCAGAGTTTGCAGTGAGCTGAGATTGCACCATTGCATTCCAGCCTAGGCGTCAAGAGTGAAATTCTGTCTCAAAAAAAAAAAAAAAACGTAAGCTATTCAAATAGGAGTAGCATGATCTGACTTACGTATTTAGAAGGCCACCCTAACTGTGTTGTGAAAGGTGGGTATGCAGGAGATGAGTTGCGGAGCCACGTCTGAAGGTGTTACAGTGGTCTAGATGAAGGAGGTGGCAGCTTGAATTAGGAAAGTGGAGAGACGGGGGAATCCGAACCACAAACAAAGCAGTTGAGTAGAAGGAGCAGGCCAGATGGTTTAGGGCAACAAAATTATAGTGGCTATGAAAGTTTCTGCTGCAGATTTCTGAGAAATTCTCTAAACTTAAATGTCCAGTGAGTGAAATTTGTTGAGTGAAAGATAAATTTATTTCCTTTAAAAGATACTTTATTGTTAGCACATAGATGGAAAAGTAGACAAATCAATATACTCTGAATTCATTTGTTTTTCTTCTGTGTACCAGCACCATGCTAAGCACCGTATTTGCCTAATTCTCAGTGTCCCTGTGAGGTAGATGATTTCATGATCTCCATTTGACGTTTGAGGAGATCCAGGTTTAGAGTGGCTGAGTAGCTGGCCAAAGTCATACAGAGAGGAAGGGCTGGAGGCAGAGCTGAAACCCACGTCTGCTTCACCCCGCAGTGATCTGTCCATGCTAGTGCTTTTTTTTTCATGTACTGTTTCATTCTAGAAAGGATGCGAATTGACCAATTCAACTGGCATCACAGTTGATATAACTTAAGTTCTTTTCTAAATGACCCCTCTTTTCAATGCATAGAGTATTTCACCTCTCTACATATTCACATGTAAGACACCTAACACCAGAATCATCAAAGTAGAAGGAGATATAAATGCATATGTTAAGCCAAGCCTGGTGGCTCATGCCTGTAATCCCAGCAACTCAAGGGTGAGGCGGGAGGATCACTTGAGACCAACTTGGGCAACATAGGCAGACCCCCATTTCTACACAAATAAAAAATGATAAATTAGCTGGGCATGGTGGCATGGGCCTGTAGTGCCAGCTACTCAGGAGGCTGAGGCGGGAGGATTGCCTGAACCCAGGAGTTCAAGATTACAGCGGGCTATGATCACACCACGGCACTCCAGCCTGGGTGACACAGGAAGACCCCACCTCTAGAAAAATAAAATAAGTTCATATGTTATTTTGAGTTCTTTAAGATTATTAAATGAAAAACTTCATATCAGACATAAAAACAAACATTATGTTGCTCATATTTCAGAACACTGGGTGGAATATCAAATCTTAACATTGAAACTGGAATGGAAACGTGATAAAGATTTTCTAAAACATAAAAGGGATGCCAATTTGAAATTTTAATAAAGTTTATTTCAAACTTATTTAATAAAGTTTGAAATAAACTTTATTAAAATTTTATGACATCGAGGAAATATAAAAACATGTGAAATATTGTAATAATTATTTCTAATATAAATATGCTTTTTCAAAAAATCATAAAATATAGAGACTTTCATCTTCTCCTTATTAGATGGGATGCAGATAAGATTCTGATACTGATAGATGATTAGAGTGGTTTATTGTTGAGGAAAATGAAGTCCAAGTGATGGATTGTAGTGCGATTAAAATGTCAGAGCAGTAAATTCTGATGTGTGACTAGTAAACCACTTGAATCATGCACTGATGTGATTTATTGCTCCTTCTTTTCTTTTTCTCAAAACAAGTGCTACTAACTGACCAAGATTTGCAAATCTTTAATTACTAATTGTGTGCCATAGATCTTTGAGGGGCTGACTTTTAAGTTAAAAAAAAAAAGTTTTTAATCTCTGCTGCAAAGCAGCGGGGGAGATTAGAAATTGATTCAGTAGTCATCTTAAAAGAAGAAAAAACGAGCTGAGGAAAGATACGCATTATTCTTGGGAAGATGAAAAGTTTACATCCTTTATGTTAATCATCTATTTTGCTGACCACTGAGAAAAGGGCAAAGCCAAATAGATTTGTTTTTATTTGCAAGCAGCTTTGTTTTTTGTTATACTTTTAATTTGGGCAATTCAGTTACTTTTCCTCTTTTTTGGTTCTTTGTTTTTGTTTGTTTGTTTTTATTTCTCATCATCACTTCATATGGGCAGTGAAAATTCAGAGGAGCGACAGGCAACTTACCTGGGATTCCTGGGCCAGCAACCACAGCAGCCTCCACACCAACCATCACTATAACACGCACCACCCTGACCATTGCAGAGCACCAGCCCTGACACTCCCGAAAGCACCTCCTCCAAACAGCCCTCGTAATGTTCCCTGCTTTCTCCTCCTGGTCTTTTATTTCAATTACGTTTTTCTCACTCTTTCCTTTTGGCTTCATGGGCGTTGTTTTTTTCTGTTTCTTATAGCAGCAATGTATCATTTCTGACATCTCCTAGGTTTTTTTCTTTTCCATCAGAAAGCATTTGTTGTTAGCAAAGGATGTAAATGTTCAGAATGCTTTATATGTGGCTGAGGAAGTAACAATTCAGAATATTATACAGAGACAATGTTCTCAGGTCTTCTTTGTGTATGTGGAATCACTTATGAAATTCATGTCAGAAAATATCCATGAAAATGAGATTATGTATTTGATGCATTGAGTTGTTCACAGACAAAGTTGTTCTTTTGTTTAAAGCAATTCTCATAGAGTCTCTTTGTGTTCCCATGAGCTTATAAAGATCCTGCTGCCCTTTAGCATTTGTAGGCTCTTGTAAAGCATTGTCTCATGCTCCTGAGGGCTGTCCTCTGTCTGGCTAGAGTCCTTTCTAGCCATTGCTATGCATCATATGTGTCTTTCTGGATCGTTACTGGTTGGCAAGTGTGGCGGGCTCACACTCCACCTGAGAGTGCTCTGTGCAACATCTTCGCTCTCTTGCAGCAGCTTTGGTGTCTTCATCCTTCTCTCCTACCTCCATGAGTGCATACAGCCTGAGTTCCCTGAACATGGGAACTCTACCTCGAAGCCTCTACTCCACCAGCCCACGTGGAACCATGATGAGGAGGAGACTGAAAAAGAAAGACTTCAAAAGCTCATGTAAGTGAAATAACAGCCAATGGCATTTGACCTGGAAAAAAACCTGTGGGCATTGGAAGCTTGGAAATATTGAAATTGTGGGAAGAGTGTGTCACAGTTGCCTAAGTGATCAAGTAGATGCTGAGCAGCTAACAGCTCTGTGCCAAAGACCATTGGCATGATACCCAGTGTCTGTTTGGCAATGACTGCACCTCAATGTAACTTCAGACTGAATTCATTCATACTACCTTTGCCTACAACTTTTTATTTGAGATTTGAGATTTTTCTTGCTCTTTTGATGTCATAACATACCCAAAGGTATGATTTTTCCTTTAAGACTTCTTGTATTATATTCTGGGTAACTTTGGACATGAAACCTTTGTTCTTAGTTTCTTACTCACTCTAAAGAAATTTTGTGAAAATGATGCTCCCCTTTTGATAAATATAAGATTCTCATGCATTCATTTAATGTTATCATAAATGTCATACTAAATTATATTTTGTTACCCTCCTCCCCAAAACAATGATAAATATGAACATCCCTTTTTAAACTGTATCTCATTCCCCAAGACTCCAATACTTTTTCCAGAAACCTACCCCACTGGTAGTCACTGATCTAACATGTATTTCCTTTTTTTTTTCTTTTTTTTTTTTTTGAGACGGAGTCTCGCTGTGTCTCCCAGGCTGGAGTGCAGTTGCTCGATCTCGGCTCACTGCAAGATCCGCCTCCCGGGTTCACACCATTCTCCTGCCTCAGCCTCCCGAGTAGCTGGGACTATAGGTGGGGGCCACACGCCCAGCTAATTTTTTGTATTTTTAGTAGAGACAGGGTTTCACTGTGTTAGCCAGGATGGTCTTGATCTCCTGACCTCGTGATCCACCCGCCTCAGCCTTTTAAAGTGCTGGGATTACAGGCGTGAGCCACCACGCCTGGCCTAACATATATTTCTTATTGCTCACTCCAGTCTGAGGAAGTTTGGAAGGATGCTCAGTTTTACAATAAGCATCCTAAAGTCATGGAATTTCAACCATGAGTCTTGTAAAAATGATCTGGACAGCCAAACACGATATACACTAAGCAAGACTAGGAAGATGTGGTTGGCTACTTGCTTTCGATAGTGGTTGTCTGAACAGAGGGGAAAAAAGGTGATTGAATGCCTTAAAAAGAAAGAAATACAAATCACTCCTACATTTATCATTTCTGTTACAGAAGATCATTCTCTCTCATCATGATCACATAACTTGTGGAAGAAGAAAACACTAACCTTTCTAACTAGACCTAACCATAGTCTAGAGAGTCTGTTTCTTATCCTGTATCCCTTTTGATGGCCATGATTATGATTCCTACAAAGAAATTTAAAGAAGATGGGATCTCTTCCTGTGCTCACCATGGGAATAAAAATAAGGAACATCCTTAAGTTACCTAAATAAAACCAAAGCCAGTTACTTCACAGCTGGTATGTACTTAACTGGCTTTTCAGCTTGTTTGCAAGAGATTCATCTCCCCAGGAGGATCTCTCTCCAGTCTCACCAGGGCCACCCTAAGTGCCCAAGACCAGCCATCACCCACACTGGGAACTAGTTTCTTCATGACACAGGAACCTGAAGGTTTCCCTACAGTGAACTCCATTCCAAAAGACAGGGTCACCACTGTGGTTTGTACATGATTTAGACTTGCATATATACTTTACATATAAGGAGATTTGTCAACTTTGGTATATGAAAATGATAGTAAAATTGAAATGGAAAATGGAAGATTGAATTTAGTCAAAATGAGAACAAAGTGCTCTTAGAGTCCCATATGTTTTTTAGTTGACACTAGAGTAAATTATTTACTCTTGGAAGAAACTAGTTGAATCCAATATAGTGAACTGGTTATAAGCCTAGACTCTGGAACCAGGCTCCCTGGGTTCCATCCCAGCATCATTACTTTCTAGCTGTAGGACTCTGAGCAAGTTCTATAAACTCTATGTCTCAACTGAAAATAGGGAAAATCACTTCATTGGGTAATTGTGAAGATTGCATGAGGTATGCCTTGACTGAAAATATGAAGAATTACTTCATTGGGCAATTGAGATTACATGAGATTGCATATGTATATGTGTTTTAGAACAACACCTGGTAAATAGTAAGCACAATTTAATTGTTAGCTATTTTGAATAGTTTGTGTTAACTATCATCTGCCTAAATCTGAATTATCACGTAAGAACATCTCTTGACATTGCTCTCAGAGTTTAGTGTTTTTCACGAGGGGTACATTTTGGCCTAATACATAGGTCTTGAGTCTTCCATATAATGCCTTCAGGGTTCGTGGTGGTTATTAGTATATGAATTTTTTTTACAGATAATGACTTTGTGTGTAGTACTCCTCAGTGACAAAAATAGGCTAACAGCCCTCAGCAGGGAAGAGCAATTAAAATGAATTCATTAGTGTTCCTACTTCTGCTTCAAAGACTAGTATTTGTGTTAGGGAAGACTTGCTATGTTGATTAGGGACATTACTGAATACAAACGAATAATGTTTGGCTATCTCAGGTTGATATTTACATATCTTAAATTTTGTAGTAGGAAACAAAGCTGAGGCAGCGCTGTCACTGATATGCATAACCAACTCATAAATTCTCACTTGAATCAGGACATTATTCTTCAACATGTTAGAAATATAAACAGAAACGTGTTTCAATACATTTCTAGTTGTTTGTGTTTGCTGTAGACATTAGCCACTAGAGCACCACTCACAATATACATACCAGAATGTTTATAAATGTGTCTCAGGAGATCATACATTTTACATTTTATTCAAACAATAAATTCCAAATGCTATGAACTTTTATTCACACTTCAAAAAGACCTGAAAAAATGATAGTGTTGCAAAGGTTTTTGTTTTTGTTTTGTTTTGTTTTGTTTTTTGTTTTTTAATGAGGATTTTTTTCTTTTATTGCACAGGTTTGGTATGGTCACATTAGATGTAAAGGTCTTCCCAAATAACTGATAATAAAAGTTTTATTGCCACTCTTACTATATCATGGTTTATTTCCACCACTTTATTTATGTCTTTATCCTTTGCCACCATTTGCTGCCCCCTTTGTAATACTTATGTTTCTATAGCAACCAGGCCAATTGTGTAGGTGGTGAATCATGGCAAAAGTCACAAATACAATAAAAAGTCCCTTTGCTGTATTGGTGATGACTTGAGGCCGGAGCTTGCAAAACAGAAAATTCTAATATGTGTTTCCAATGCCAAGGAAGGAGATGCCCAGAAAAAAAATGAAACCTTCTCACGTGAAAATTAAAACATTCTATATCACTGATCAAAGAGGAAATACACGAAGTCTGTATATAGCAATGTGTTATAAGTATTAAAACAGGAAGGTGTCATGTTTGTTTCATAGGGAAAATAATGAATACAGCACACATTAGGCTTTGACGAGTGTCACAAAGCCCTGGAGGCATGGCGGCCAAGCCAAGTCATAGAGGGAGCCCTCTCATCTCCTCTGCTGGAATCTTACTGCCCTTTCCCTGGCTGCCTGTGCTGCCTCTTTTTCTGCCAAAGAGGCCAAGTCTCCTTCCAGAACCTCATCATCTCCCTGTAACAACAGCGTGGCTGAGCAACAGATCTAGCTAGTTTGCCGTGCTTTCTGTTCCCCGCCACTGTACCCTGGGCCAGCGTAGAGACTGTCTCTTCCCAGTTTGCCTGAATTTCAGCAAAGAGTAGAAGTTAGAACACATTTCCAGAATGGTCTTTGCTGCTTTTGTCATCAGCAGTAACTAGAGAGAGTGCCATTGAAAAGAGCTGAAGGAAAGAAAATGAAAAAACCTAACAACTTTTCTGGTCCCTTCCATCGACCTGGGAACAAAGAATGGAAGATAAAGCCAGCTACTGGTAAGCTTTTATAAGTGACCATTCAGGGAGCCCTGGAAGGGGACACCCTAAGAACTGTCCTTACACCCTCATTTGGACAAAGGAGCTGTTGGCCGCCTCTACTGCGTTCCTGAACTGGATCACATGATACACATGTGTTGGGTCTATGGCAGGTTGACTATAGTGTGGAGCACTTTAGTGAGACAGAAGTCTTAGATTACAGGATCACTAATAAAAACACATTATTCTTTGGGAGCCTGAGGCAGGTGGATCACTTGAGCCCAGGAGTTTGAGACCAGTCTGGACAACATGGTGAAACCCTGTCTCTACAGAAAAAGAAAAAAATACAAAAATCAACCAGGTGTGGTGGCACACACCTATAGTCCCAGGTACCTGGGGGGCTGAGGCGGGAGGATTGCTTGAGCCCAGGAGATGGAGGTTGTAGTGAGCCAAGATTCTGCCACTACACTCCAGCCTGGACAACAGAGTGAGAGCCTATCTCAAAAAAAGAAAAAAAGAAAAAAAAAAAAAAACAGATTATAGTAATAAATGTTTGGGGTCCTTAGTTCTCTATATTTTTTAAATGCTTCTCATAGCTGATAGAAAATCTTGCAGCCTTCTAAATTAAATAAACATTGGGTAAATTTTTAAACTTTTGGAGGTGTTATTGGCTCCCCCTTCCCTTTACTAGGAAGAATAAGAATTGACAAAAATACAGTCATTCCCTGCAAATCTGAAGAGTTGTGAACAGAACCCTCCATGTGAGAATGGGAATAGGACAGAGCAGGCACGAATCTTGAACACAGCCTCAGCATACACCCGTTAGCAGGATTCAAACATAGGATGTCAGCAATTTAGTCATTTCCATCTTCACCTTGAGGAGTAGACAAGCCTCGGCCAAAGCTGGTAGCTAGTAGCAATGATGACTGAATACCTTGCAGAAGCATCTGCTCCTGGAGAGAGAATTCACCATCCACATTTTCAAATGACAGGGGAATATTCACCTTCATCTTCTTTTGCTGGTTGACCACATTAATGAAGCAGGATAATCAAGCTCATTTTTTTCTCCTCTAAGTTAATATTGATTTTTTTTCCTTTTGGTTCCTTATCTTTAAATCTACAATATATCTTTTTCATATCTGGCAATAATTTTCAAAACTTTTATATGTGTAACTAATCAATACATATAATTTCAAATGAAATTTTGCTCTGTCAAATAAAAGATTCCAATATGTCAGAGGACTTTCAGAGTTAATTATAAAATCATAAATTATTTGCTATAATGCTATATGTATAATATAAATTATAACTATATAATTATAAAACCAATACATAATATGTAAATTTATTTTAAATCCTAAATTCAATTTTCTAATAATTTGTATCATCTCAACTTGCCTCCAGATAGAGCTTATAAATTTAATAATATTCATATTAAATTAGTACTTATTTTCAAAACCTTCTAGAGAATAAAATTATTCAACTATCTTCACTGTTTCCAAAAATATAGCAAGTCTTTCTTTTGAGAAGGCTTCACTATATCTAATATAATCTCACCTGTTACTATTAAACTGACCTCTTTTTTTCTTGGCTCTTTCTTAGTGAAGATGGTAAACAGCTGCCTTAAAGTTTCTTAAATAGCTTTTAATACCAATTAAGTTGTCTGATAATCTATATCAAATTGTGATCTCAAATGAAAAAAAATTAATGTGAACTTATAAAAGAGTCACAGAAAGTAAAGGATTCCTGATTAAGTCCAAAAAGCTTCACCTAGAAGATAAGTGGAAGTTACCTGCCAAACGTGTGATGCTGTAACATGATACTCCCATCTTCTATGAGAAATAACTGGAATGCAATGTACTCTCCAGATCCTTATTGACAGGAAATGGTGTCTCCCAGTGATTTGGTGCCACTGATAGCAAAAATTATGATCTGGAGAGTAATCACGGTACACTCTACATCAGTAAAACCACACCAGAACATGTGATCTAAATTAGTACATGGCAGTCCATGTGTCAGACCTGGCAATTGCAAGCTTCCACCTGTAAGGAGCATAGGGTTGGAGGCTACCTTCACCCCCCACTGCAGGCTATGTTAACCTTAATCCAGCTGCAACAGAATGAGGATGGTGCTTCTTAAGGAAAAGTCAATTTTTTTTTCTTACTCCTGCTAGACAAATGATCTACTTCACCCTCCCTTGCCCCATCAGCTGCAATTACCTGGGTCCTGAAGAATGACTTGTAGTTCCTTACGGTAACTCAGCAGCATCTATGAGAAGTATTGTTTCCTAAAAGGAATGTGCAGATGACATCCCAAAACTTGATTCATTCCCCATTTATTCAGCATTGATTGAATGTTCCAGGCACTAAGATTTCAGAGATTAAAAGAGCTGGTTCCAACCTTTCAAGGACTCAGGGTCGGGTGGAGAGAAACAGGCAAATAGAGACCTGATAAATGCTGAAACGGGACCATGTATTAGAAATGTGGAAATATAGAAAAGTAAGTACCTAATTCTGCCTGGATAAAACAGAGAAAGGGACCCAGAGCAAGAGCTGAGTGGCAGAGGGCACAGTATATATGAAGACACAAAAGTGTGTCAAGAGAGCTGAGGCACATGGCACATGAAGGGACCAAGAGAAACAGGAGAGTGGGTTGGCAGGAGAAAGGAACTGATGAAGGGTCCTGTGTACTCTGCTAGAATTGAAAAGTTTGTTCTATAGGAAACAGGGAACTATTGAAAATTCAAAACGGGGCAGGGATTACCTTTGCATGTTAGGAAGGCTACTCTAGCAGCAGTTGGAGGCTGTCATCATAAAACAAGAGGCAGGGTCACTAGTTAGAAGTCTATCCAGTAATGTACACTGGTGATGATGAGGCCTTGCTCTGTAGTAGTGACAATAAGAAAGGGAAGAAGATTCACTCAGTTATGAAAACATTGAGGACCCAACGAGACAGTTTGTAGATGGGATACCCATGGAATAGGGAAATCCATCACTGGAGCGTGACAGAAACTAAGGAGAAAGAGTTGAGAAGATACATGCAGAGTAGATAAGTTGGGGCCTCATTGTATCAGCAAAGTTTATCTGACGGGAGGTTCAGCTGGAAATAATATGTAGGGAATATTGTGCATGTAAGGACCCAGAAATAAGTACATTAGAATAATTCAAATGAAAAATAATGAAAGCCCAAATTGAGGTACTGAAATTAATAAGGGAAAAGAGGATTTTTGTAAGATATATTTCAGTGGCCATCCCGAAAGGATTTAGCAGTGGATAGAATTTGAGACAATGGGGAGTTGTGAGTTAAGGCTACTTTGAGATTTCAAGCCTAGAGAGCCTGTTCACAGAAATAGTAGTGGCAATGAGAGAGGGAAGAGGATTCACTCAATTTTGAAAACATTGAGTTTGAGGAGCCAGTGAGAGAGTGTGTGGATGGGATACCCATCAAGGAGGGAGATCCATTACTGGAGCCTGACAAAAACAAGAGAAAGAGTTGAGAAGATACATGAGGAAGACATATAGGCATGCTGGGAATGAATGAGGGAAAGAATGAGGGTGGAAAAGACTTGGAGGATGGAACTGTGCGCTGGAATGCAGAGGGCGGCAAAGCAACTGGCTGGGACTGAAAAAGTAAGACACTCGAAACAAATCTTCATCAAAACCAAGCAAACAATTTCAGAAAGCAAGGGATGGTCCTAAAGCCAGTCACCAGGTAGAGCAGATGAGGCCATTGATTTTAGCAGTCAGGAAGTCATCGGTGAGAGCAGTTTCGGTAAATGGTGAAGGCAGAAACCAAGTTTTTAGCAGCTTCAGAATCGGTACACATCTATAGACAGAGGTCAGAAAGCTGGGGGAGTGAGTAGAAAAGTTTGGAAAGGAAGCAAGAGAGAAATTTTTTCATGGCACAAAATCATGGGGGGTGGAAAGGGATAGTATTAAAAACACTAACAGGGGGAATTAGCCTTGAAATGGAAGGAAGAATACAACCTCCTGTAGTGGGGAAAAAAGGAAGAGGGAATAAATAATGATAAAGAGAAATTGAGGCTAAACAGAATGTTGTTTAAGGAACTCTGGTCAAAGGGTTGCATCTTTTCAGTCTTATAGGAAATGAGGAGTAACGTTTGACCATGATTTAGGGTAGAAACATATGAGACAGATCCTTTGTGGAATGAAATAAGGTGTCAAAATATCACACAACAACTAATTTAAGGACCTAATAGGATTGTGAATTTGTAGTGACTTTTCCTAGCACTCTCCAGCAACTTAGTAACAGCAGTGGAGTTGACTGGGCATTACCGAAGAGTATAAAATATTAGAGTATAGAAAAAATCCCAAGAGGTTAAAGAATCTTTGAGCCTAGGGAGATGCATTATTAAAATGCTCACTAGAAGTCCATGTGGAGTGTGGCGAAAATGATGCCAGCAAAGCCAATGGGCAAAGACAATGACTCTCCACCTGCACTTGCCAGATCCCCACATGAGGCCAGGGAAAGCCTCAGGGGTCTCCCATTCCCACATCAACTACAGTAGCTGTTTTTATCTGGAATACAAAGGCGGCCCTTATATGTTTTCATTTTAAGGGGGAAAAATCTGTTGCTAAAATATTGTTGGAAAACCAGTAGACTCAGGAGACAAGTGAGAGGGAATGGGACTGGAAGTCATAAAGAGGAGACAGATTGCAGGAAGTGGGAAAGATGGCTAATAAAGGCTATGTGATCAACAAGGGGGACTTGGACATCAGGATCTTGAAGTCTATTCATTTTGAAGGAAGATGGGGACCACCATAGGGTTCTGCTGGCAGAGAGTGGAAGTAGGGTGGCATTGCAAGGAACTGACAGGGAGAGAGTTGAAGAAGCATAAAGCCAGCTTGCTAGAAGGTTATCACCATAATGTCAAAGAGGCAGAGGACAAGGAAAAGCTACAGGTTAGAGGAGGCAGACTAAGAGGTAAGTCCTGAAGTTATGAAGAAAAGGGGGAGAATTTTGAAAAAGTAGATTATGGGCTTGAAAATGAGAGCAGAAATAAGTACAGAATTATGGAATTTTAAATAGGAGTAGTTGAATCAATGTACCATATGTGGAGAGCAAGAATTATGAACCTGTCTTCCTGCCATTTGTAGAGAGAGTAAAAGAAAATGGCTTTTGGAGAGGGTTATGAGGTATATGGTGTCATCAGGTTTTAATTAAAGGGGGCCAGACTCTTTCTGGAGGAAGAGGCAGTGCAGCATAGGACCTGCAGGCAGAGACTGCTCACAGAGAGCACAGGTGGCCCAGCTCCTGTGGGCAGGGCTGAGAGAAAGGCATGGAGGAGTGGAGCAGCCCTTTCATGAGTTGGGAATGGAAACAAGATGGAGACATCTGCTGGAAGGTGTAGATGAATATCAGAGAGATAAATGAAATAGGATAAATAATAGGAAATAAATGAAATACAACAACGTAGACTAGAGACCCAGTAGGAAAGAGCAAGGCTGAAGAGAACAAACTCTGAGGGGACAGGAGGAATGTACAGAGTTTGAACAACATCATCATGCCAATTCAACACTAGATTAAGGAACAGCACAGCCTCACCACTCCAAGGGTCAGATTTAGATTAATTATTTCTTCAAAGCTGAAGGTAGGATTGTTTAAAAGTCACAAAGCCCAGATGCAAATGGCTAAAGTGGAAAAAAACATGAGACCAGCTAGCTCAACTCCCTTTTTCTTAGGATGTAGACACACAGAGACACAAAATGGCCTACCCCAATGTTCCCCAGCTGGTGTTCAGTGATAGAGCCAGTACTAAAACCCACGTACCCTGACCCTAAGGCCATCCTCTTAAAGCCCCCACAATGATCCCTGGTTTGAGGAGTAGGGAGCCAGGGTACAGGGATACACTGATATTATTATTGAAATGTGATGAATATTGAGAGATTCACTTATCTTTTTCAACTTTTACTAAACCAGAGGCCATAATTTAACCTCCCACCATTGCCATTAAGTTTTTATGCAGAGACACGATCTATTTTGGAAATGCTGGTATTCCTGGTGCTTGCTCCAACCTAAAGTCAGTATTTTCTGTTTGTTCCTCTAGTGTCCTTAGCCTCCAGCACAGTGGGATTGGCTGGGCAGGTTGTTCACACAGAAACCACAGAGGTTGTGCTGACGGCAGATCCTGTCACAGGATTTGGGATCCAACTGCAGGGCAGTGTGTTTGCCACAGAAACTCTCTCTTCTCCACCTCTGATTTCCTATATCGAAGCTGACAGCCCAGCAGAGAGGTGAGACTCTTTTACAGCATCATTTTCTGCTCTGCGTTTCTGGTACCTGCTATCTTTGAATGGCTAGTGAATTATGAAACATTGCTCAATGTAGGAAATGCAAGATGTGATGAACCCTCTTCTGACAATAAAATTCTATGTTCTTGATCAGGTTTGAAAAGAGTAATGAGCATGGATGCCTTTAACTAGCAGATTTTGTCCATCAAGGGACTAGAAGCTATATTAATTAAAAAGGAGAAAAATTCATAAATAAAACATATCCTGAAGTTCAGCTTCAATAGTTTCTGCCATTGGGGAATATACATTCATCATTACTAAATATTGGTTTGGATCAGATTCTAACAATACCATGGTTATGAATTATTAATTACTTCTCTGGGATACTTCAGGATTCCCCTGCTCACAATTATAACCATGAAATGCAACAACATAAGATGTTGAAGTTGACCTATATGATGCCCACAGCATTGAATAAGCAAGACCAAATTATGATGCTATTTTGCAAGGATCAAGCAAGGTAGATTTGACAAGCTCAACTTGGTAATTATTTACTCCATCTACAACCTCTCACATGTGGTTCTAAATTAGATGTGGGGTGCTACAGATTGGAGACAGAGTGATGGCCATCAATGGAATTCCAACAGAAGACAGCACCTTCGAAGAAGCCAATCAGCTCCTCCGAGACTCTTCAATCACGAGCAAGGTCACACTGGAAATCGAGTTTGATGTTGCAGGTATAATCATATCATCGCAAGTCAGTGACAGAGTCAGGAGTGGACTGCATGTGAATTATATTGGTTATGTGGCAGAGAGGAAACTATTGTTTTTTGTTTTATATGCTGAACATGCTTTTGTTTAGGAGGTTTGGGGTGTCGTGTCGTTTTGAATTGAGCATTATTTTCGATTATTCCTTAAAATGTCACCGCATGAACAACTGAAAATAAATGTGACAAATTGAATAATAGCCACAACTACAGAGGCGACAAAAACAAATCATATGGCCTTCATTCTTTCATTCTTCTGTATACTAGAGAAACCATATTCTTCAGTCAGAGAGACAAGTAAAGCCTCTCTTTGACCCTTCACACTGCAAAGAACACATGAAACTTCTTTTGAGAGCAATGAAAATTCCCTAAGTGTTTTTAAACAAGCCCAGTTGGCAAATAGTTTTTAATGTTAAAGAGAAATGACAGCAGATACTTGTTAAAAATGACAAGGAAGACTTTGTTGGAGACTACTGCAGTAGGGGTCAAGAATATTGCAGTAGGCCAGGAATGGTGGCTCACACCTTTAATCCTAGCACTTTGGGAGGCCGAGGCAAGTGGATCACCTGAGGTCAGGAGTTTGAGACCAGCCTGGCCAACTTGATGAAACCCTGTCTGTACTAAAAATACAAAAAATTAGCCAGGCATGATGGCAGACACCTGTAGTCCCAGCTATTTGGGAGGCTGAGGCCGGAGAATTGCGTTAACCCGGGAGGCAGAGGTTGCAGCGAGCCAAGATCGCGCCACTGCACTCCAGCCTGGGCAATCTGGGCAATGAAAGCAAAACTCCATCTCAAAAAAAAAAAAAAAAAAAAAAAAAGAATATTGTGGTAGGGGAGAGAGATTGAACCCAACTCCAAATATAGCCAGGGCAGTTGGGAGTTTATAGCCAGTAGACAAAGTGAAGACGGGGGAGTCATTGAATGGAAAATTACTAAAAGGAACTTGATTAAATATCAAAGGTGGAGGGCCAAGGGGATTCTCCCTAAACTGACTCAGCAGATTCTTGCTAAAATTGGGCTCCCAGCCCAAAAACAAGGCATAGTCAAGAAGAGGGCTCCAGGGAACCAAACTAAAGTTTGGTTATAGTCAGAGTCCTGACAGGTGTGTGGATTTTAGAGATTGGTGCTAGTTCCCATTTAAGAAAATTGTCTTCACACAGTGAAAGACTACCTCACAGACCCAATAACCCTTACCAGTTAGTAAAGATATGCTTGTGGACACAGGGATCACATTATTCCAACAAATATTTACTATTTACCATGGGCCAGTTATGCCCCTACACAATGTAGATGTAATAGTAGACAGGAAAGTAAAAAAAAAGCTTATATATATTTTTAAAACTTATATTATATGAAGCTTATATTATAGCAGCATATAGAAAGTTAATTTAAAAATTAACAAATATTGCCAGTGTGGTGGCTTACACCTATAACCCCAGCACTTTAAGGCCAAGGTGGGAGGATCACTTGAGCCCAGAAGTTCAAAACCAGCCTGGGAAATATAGTAAGACCTCATCTCTTAAAAAAAGAAAAGAAAAGAAAAAAAACTTGTTTAAGTTAGCCTGGCATGGTGGTGCATGCCTGTAATCCCAGCTGCTCAGGAGGCTGAGTTGAAAGGATCACTTGAGCCCTGGAGGTAAAGGCTGCAGTGAGCAGTGATTGTACCACTGAACTCCAGCCTGGGTGACAGAGTGAGACCCTGTCTCAAAAAAATTAAGTAATTAAAATTAACAAATACAAATTTAGAGAATAAGTGCTCTAAGGAAAATACCACAGGATAAAGGGTTAGAGAATGACTTTAGGGGAGCTAATTTTGTAGGCTGATGCTCTAAGGAAGTGACATTTGGGCAGGGATAAGAAGGCTGAGAAGGATAAGCCTTGTTTTTCTCAGAAGAGGCATTCTAAGGAGAGGGAGTAGGCAGTATAAAGACCCTAAGCCAAAACAATTAGCTTGCTGGAGAAACAACAAAAAGAGCTGTTCCTGGAAAAATTAAGGGAATTGGGTTTGGATTGGGTTTGGATTTGGTGATGGAGTTGGAGAGGTTAGAGGGACCGAGTAATGCAGTGCCTGGTAAGGAATTTAGATCACATTCCAAGTGTAATGAAGCCATGGAGTATTTTATGTGGACGAGCTAATCTGAGGAATTTTTTAGAAAGAGCCTTCTGACATGGGAGGGGAAAATAGCAGAAGCAGGCAAAACCAGTTTGGAGATTGTGGCAGTTGGACAGGTAAGACATGATAGTGGCCTGACACAGTGGTAGTGCTGGAAGTGGTAACTAATAGTGGAATTTAGGATATGGCTTGACACAGAGCTAATAGCACTTGCTTATGGGTTAGATATGGAAGGTGAGGGAGAAGGAAGAGCATGGATGGCTCTTGAGGTGTGAGGGTGAGCAGTCGGGTAGACAGTGATGTCTTTAGCTGAGAAGACTGGAAGAGAGGAAATTTGGAGATAGGAAAAATAATTCTATTTTAGAGATGAGTTGGCAAATCCACTGCCAATACTAGAGAAAAAAGACAAGCATGTCTGTTCCTTAATTCAAATGACAGTTATTGAGCACCCGTTACTAGGTGCTAAGCACTGTGCTGTTTTCAGATCATTGAAAGAGAAAATAGAAAGGATCCGTATCCTCAAAGAGTTCAAAGCTAAATAGGAGAGAAAGAGCTGCTGAATGGTAAGAATAGACTTGTCAAATTTGTGTTGCCACTGGAATGCAGAAAGAAGGGCCCAGGAGAGAGTAACGCAGGTATTACCTTTTGGAGCCTAGGATTCGGGGTCTGGGCTGGATAGCAAGACTGAGGAGTAACCAACATGGCAGTGATTGTTAAAGTCATCAGAAAAAAGGAGACCACTAAGGAAAGAGTGGCAGTAAGAAAGGGACTGAGGAGGGGACTCTGCCTGAGGAATACTGAGATTTAAAGGGAAAAAAAAATGTGAGTAAATGTGATGAAGGTGCACCTTGAGAAATGGAAGGAGAACTAAAAGAAGGTGGCATTTTGGAAGCCAAAGAAAGAATTTCAAAGCAAAAGTCACTATTGATAGCTTAAAGGTACTACGGAGAATTCAAGTAACATAAGGTAGGAAATGTCCTTTGGATTTGGCCATTAAGAAGAAAGACATTGCCATAGTATAAAAAGATCTGAGAAGTAGGGGCAGAAGTCACATTGCAGTGAGCTGAGGAATGAGTGGAGAGTGATAAGTACAGAGATGCTCTGCTTGCTGTCTGCTTTAGGAACTGGATTTTGGAAGAGAGTTTGGCTGGAAAAATGCACTGAATGGATGAAAGAGACTGGAGACCACTGTGGGCTCCTCTTTTGAGAACTTCTGCATTTACTTACACACTTGTTGCTCTATTTTATGTTGTATTATAACCTTTATTCAGCAGTTCTCAACTGGGGTCAATTTTGCCCCAGGGGACATTTGGTGAGGTCAAGAAATTTAGCTGTAGAGAAAGAAGAGACAACAGATAGTGGGAGACTCAAAGTTCAGAGGGGTGTTATTTCGTATTGTGGCTTTGTTTTGTTAAGATTGGAGAGATTGAGCATGTTTGGGGACTGACATGAATGAGGGAGAGAAGAGATAATAATGGAATCAGATCCACAAAGGAATGAGAAAGAGCAGTCCAGGACAGAAGGTAGAAGACCTCTTCTTATGAGTTTGTAGAAAAGGTTGGGAGACACAGAAAGACAAACATTACATGTTCTCACTTAACTGTGGGAGCTAAAAATTAAAACAATTGAACTCCTGGAGGTAGAGAGTAGAAGGATGGTTACCAGAGGCTGAGAAGAGTAGTGATGATAGTGGGGAATGGGAATGGTTAATGGGTCCAAAAAGAATTTGGAAAGAATGAATAAGACCTGGTGTTTGCTAGCACAACATGGTGACTGCAGTAAAAAAGTAATTTAATCATACATTTAAAAATAGCCAGAAGAGTATAATTGGATTGTTTGAAACTCAAACTATGGGTACTAGAGGGGATGGATACCCCATTTGCCCTGATGCGGTTATTGTGCATTGCATGCTTATATCAAAGTATCCCATGTAACCCATACATGTATATGCCTAATATGTACCCACAAAAATTAAAATAACTTTTAAAAAGAAAAGAAAAGGATGTGAGAATATAAGTACATTTTTAGCTGGTTTTTAGATGGTTCATGTAAGAACTGTCAAGCAAGGGTGAAAAGATCAGCATCTTGGAGGGTTGAAAAGAATGAAGATTTAGAATAGCAAATGGGAGGAATGCATGAAGAAACCAACCAGAAGCCTGTAAAAGGATATTCAAGCAGAGTCTGGAAGCTTGAAGTTTATAGCAGCATCAACCTACACAGTGGAGTATGTTGTTGTTGTTGTTGTTATTTATTTTCAGGAGACCTCAGCTGCCAAGTAATAAGAGCAGAGAAAATGAATGATTAGATTGAGCCAGAGATTGAGGTTTCAAGAGAAGGTTCAACAGAAGAACTAGTCAGGGAGGTTCAATATGTTTCTGGGAGAGCAGATGAATAATTATGATAGTAACATCATAATTATTATGGTAATATTTGTCAAATGCTTGTTCTGTGGCCTGTCACTTTCTAAACGTGGTGTGTGCATCAAACTGCTTAATTCTTGTAACAGCAATGGAAGAGATTACTATGATTATGTCCTCAGAAAATTGAGGCACACATAGTTGATAGTAGGCTGGAATTTTAACCCAGGCAGTCTGGCTTCAAAGGCCACACTGGCAGCACTACACTACACTACTGTGTTTGAAAGAATCAAAGTGGGAGAGATGGGAATCAGTCACGGAAGGATGGCAGGACTTAGAATTACGAGGGGAATATGAAGTAGCTGCATTGCACATGCCAAGCACAATACCATAGAAGGAGCTTTGCAGTAGCTGCTTTCTGTCATGTTTGGGTGGTTTGACTCACTTCATTCAGGTCTTTGCTCAAATGTCACTTGCTCAGAGAAGCCACTTCATTCA